TTAAGCAGGGGTGGCTGCTGCTTGTTTTTGCTTGTTTTGGGGATAAAGTTTTATTGGAAGATAGCCATGAGATTTGTTTACGTATTGTCTATGGTGGTTAGTGTTGTAGCAGCAGAGTTGAGTAGTCACAGAGACTATATATGCCCACAAAGCTGAAAATCTTCACTATCCCCTTACAGAAAAAAAAATTCCCAACCCCTGTCCTAAGGCATCCAGTGGGTGGATTCTTTTTTTTAAGATATGTTTGTATTGATTTCAGAAAGAGGAAGGGAGAGGAGGAGAGACAGAGAAACATGAGATGAGAGAGAAACATCGATCGGCCGCCTCCTGCCCAGCTCCTGACCAGGAATCAAACCAGTGACCTCCAGGGCCATGGGACAATGCTCAACCAACTGAGCCACACCAGCCGGGCCCTTTGGGTGGCTTCTAGCCTTCACCTGAAGCAGTCATACTTCTAACACCTGCAGAATTCTCATTGTTAATCCCTGTCATCCAGGGCAGGATACCAATCAGGAGAAAAGTAGGTGAGGGTCCAATATGGAAGGAATTGGGACACATAAGAACACCAGGCCTGGGAATAAAAAGGCCTTGATGCTACTGACTCCTAAAACTGACCAAATGCTTGGTTTGGTGAAACTGATCCCACTCTTACTACATTTGTAAGATCTGGGGATAATTGTTACCATTACTGTGTAAGAATTTAGAAATTAGAAAAGCTTATTGATCTCTGAGTAACCATGTATGAAACATACATAAGAAAAGATAAAGTCACCTTTTAGATGAGCCTTCAGACTGAGGGTATCAGTAAATCCAAAGAAAGTATGTGCCTTCCAGGAGGGAGGGAGAGAGGTGTTATGTGAACATGCCCAAGAAAAGAAGGATCTGGAAAAAACCCGTCTGTAGCATTTACCACCATCTGACCAATATACATTTACCTATTTTTTTTATCTTCCCTGACCAGAATGTCACTTCATGAGGGTTTGAATTTTGATTATTGCTGTATTCCCAGAACCTAGATCAGTGGCCAGCACATGGCAGGTGCTCGTTAATATTTGACTGAATGAATTATTTTTAAAAGGAGACTTTGTTGGCAGTACTCCATCAAATACACTGGGGCAGAGGATGTTGTAGCCAAGGGTACGATGTCCGTTAACCTTAGTATGTGTATCCCTATTGCTGAAATATACATATCTTTGTTTTCAAATATATTATTTTTTATGTTTGTTACTCCTTTGACCACTGTTTTTCAAGTTGTAGGCTGTGACCCATTAGTGATTCATAAAATCGATTTAGTGGGCGAGACCAGCATTTTTTTTAAAAAATGGTACATAATAGGTAATTTCAGTGAATTCAATAGTAAATGCAAGTATTATGTGAAACTTGGCAGGAAAAGTGTATTTTCAGGGTGAATATACTTCATTAAAACTTTTCAGCTATGTCTGTGTGTACACTGGGCCTAATATAAAATGTATTTCTTAGTGTAGGTTGGAGTCAGAAACATTTGAAAGTTGTTCTGAGACAAAGCATTTTACTCAGAGGTAATAGTCTTTGACAAGCGGACACCTGGAAACAGTTAAGGCATTGGTATGAATGGATTCTAAGTGCAAACGTGTAATGGGAGAGAATTTCCTGACTTCAAATATAGAGAGATTATGACACAGCAAGAGATCCTGGCTTATCTGCAAAACGGGAGCCTGAGAGATAGTGAAAGGGGCAGGCTGTCAGCCACCAAGATACCTGAGCCTCATTTCATCCTGTATTTCTCAGATTAGCATGCCTGAGTGAAATCAATTATTAAATAAAGCACTGACCCTCTAGAGGCCAGAGGGATTAAGGAATACAGATCCACGCATGCCTAAAGTTACAGTATCTGGGTATCAGCAGGGCTGACCTAGACAGTAGGCACAGTGGCTAGGGCCCATGAGCTTTTAGGGTCCACACAAATGTTTTAGTTTTCAAAATAAAACAAAAGAATATAATCCATCCTCGACTACATCCATATATATCAATTCAGTTGCAAAGTGCAAGTTTTAATACTTCTTAATGGAGTAAGAGGCCTACAAAGGCAAAAGTGTCTGGGACTGGGGCCCATGCAAGTCCTAAGTGGGAATTGGGGATTTCAGAATCATTTGAGGTACTTGCTGAAAATGCAGATTTCTGGGCACCTCTCTAGAGCTATGGAATCTGACTCCTTTGGGATGAGCCAGTATTTGCAGTCTTAGCAGACACCTCAGGTGATTTAAATACCAACGAAGTTTAGAATATATGCCCTAGAATAGACCCCCCATGACCTAGCACAGGCTCAAGGTGGGCTTCATTGAGCCGGGGCTCCTTGTTGGGGTCAATTTGTCCTTCAGATTTCTTTTTTAAAGAGAGACTTTTTGTTTTAATCCTCACCTGAGGCTATGCTTTTTATTTTATTTATTTTGAGAGAGAGGGAGGAAGAGAGAGAGAAACATCAATGTGAAAGAAAAGTATCGATCAGTTGCCTCCTGTATGCACCCTGACCAGGGATTGAACCCACAACCTCAGTAGGTGCCTTGCCCAGGAATCAAACCTGCAACCTTTTGGTGTACAGGATAATGCGCCAACCAGCTGGGCCACCTGCCAGGGTTCAGCCGAATGTAATTAATACTCTGAGGATCCCTTGATCCCTAATTGTGGTCTCTATCAGCAGTGGCCTGTGTTCATCATCACGCTCTCCTATACTTGCCCTTAAGGATAAAAATGTTTACCACCAAATGACATTTTTCAAGCATTTTATTCAAAAAGCAGGTGACATATTTCTCTAGGTTGGGGATAACTGTGACATTTACTGACTGGATCATTATACCTTGGTTCAATACACCCTGATATTCAGCCTCGCCCTAAGTTAACCAAACCACTGGAGAAACAGCAAATTAGAGAGCAGGCCTCTCCTTTTTTGTTACATTCATTGTCAAGCCCAAGTTGAGATGCCAGTGGCCAACCCACTTAAAAAACAAACAGCAACAGCAAGAGAAATGTCAAGACGTCTGTTAAGGAAGCAGCAACTGTGGCTGCCTCAACGGCCTCTACTTGAAGTGCAGGTATTGTTCCGCATGGCCGGGGAAGAGCACCTCCACCCTCCCAGCGACCCCTGGTGACCGAGTGCACTGTCTTGCACTGGCTTTGCAAGGGCGTCAGCTCTTAGCCCACAGAGCTTCAAATGAAAACTAATACAAACCAAAGCCAGAAGGAAAAAGTGAGGGAAATATAAAGGGGATTTAAAGATTGGCTGAGGTGTTCCTGAATTAGTAACATTAATTTAAAGGCCATGTGTTTTGTTTTATTTTTAATATATCTGTATTGATTTCAGAGAGGAAAGGAGAAGGAGAGAGAGATAGAAACATCAGTCATGAGAGTCATTGATCGGCTGCCTCCTGCACGCCCCCGACTGGGGATTAGGCCCGCAACCCGGGCATGTGCCCTGACCGGGAATCGAACCCTGATCGCCTGGATCCTAGGTTGACGGTCAACCGCTGAGCCACACCCAGCCGGGCAAAGGCCATGTTCGGTTGTGGGAAGAACAGAGGGCTTGATGACACAGGGACCTGATTCAGTTGCTGGCTCTGAGGGTCGTTACCCAAGTGACCTCAGGCAAGGAAGCTGCTTGCATTCTGAGCATCAGTTTCCTCAGCTTTAAAATGGGGATATAATTCTTACCTCAGGATTGTTTGGGGAAATAAACTAAATACTGTATATGAAAGCATCTATTACATTACGTGGTACAATCTAAGTGCTCAATAAACAGTGTTTGGATATGAAATTTACTTGGGGAAAGTTAAAGAAACTTTCCTTTACCGTCCAACAGATGCTGAGCTAGCAAATTAGCATTATGTTTAATTCCTTTGGTTTACTTATACACATTTAAATCATCAAAATGCCAAAGGAAATATGCCATTTAATAATAGAATTCATTTCATTTTACTTAAATAGTAGAGGGTTTCACACTAAAGTTGCAGCAGGCATTATCCTACTCTTTTCGTTGGGCAAAATTAACACCAGTGAGAAGTTATAAGAAAGCAGATTTGGATTCAACATAAAAAGGACCAACTGGAGCCAGGGCTGCTGTGCTGCACAACTCCATGGGATACGATTCATCTGCACCACAAGGCAGACGACAGCTCCTGGGCCGCGCAGGGCACAGCTGCACTGCAATCCCAGAGCCCCGGCCGGAGCCCCTATGTCAGGGGCTGGTTCATGAAAAACGAAGTTCCCTGGCATGGAATCCATTCAATTTGAGGCAACGGGACAATAAGCCAAGGATGTTGAAGAAATGGTTCCTACTTGGGTAGGACTCTCATTAAAGCTTTTCATTCTTACTTGGTTTATGAAACATTTCTGGAGCATCCATTGGACATCAGGCACAGACCTCAGTCCAGGGATAAAAAAATGAGTAAGACACCGTCTCTGCCCCTAAGAAAGGAAGCAGTCCTACCCACTTAGTAAGACTGCTCCCCGCAGTAGTAGGGCATCCTGACGTGATACCAGCTGTCTCCGTCAGTGGCAGCTGAAATTGCATAGCTGTGCCCTCTGCTTTTAAGATTAATGTTATTCTTTCCTTCCTGAAAATCTAAACCTGTTCTGTTCTTCTACAGATTTGATGTCCATGGTCATGGACAGAATTGTAACTAAGTTACCTGATTTAGATTCTCGAATTTATTGATTTCAAGATAGGTCACTCCAGTTATGAAAGAGAAGCTGAAGAAAGTCTGATTTCAGGCAAGGATCCTTGGATCTTAAAAAATCTGTTAAGAGAAAAATAATCTAAAACTTGTTTTATAATTACACAGGTACAGATCAGTGATTTTCAACCGCTGTGCCGCAAGAATTTTGAAAACATGCAATACCTGACTATTTATTCAGGGGCAACAAACTCTTTTTCCTTAGAATGTCAAATAAAAAAATGACAATAGCCAACACAACAATAGCCGTCCAGTGTGAACGCATCAAAAATTATATTTTTTTGTTAGCTCAGCAAAAAATATACTGGTTTTTTTTTGGTGTGTCAAAGAATTTTAGTAATTAGTTTACATGTGCCATGAGATGAAATAGTTGAAAACCGCTTGTATAGATGAATGTCTTCTGTGAAGGATACCAAAACGCTACTTTCGAAAAGTGATGAGGTACTCTGGGTAAGCCTGGTTGTCATAAAATACCACAAATAAACTGGGATTGTTCACATTATCTGTGACACTGTCATACAGATCCATAGGATTTTGAGGATTCTTCGGAGGAGGCACAATTAATGCCTGATGTCCACGTTCGTACAATCCAGTAAGCACCCGCACAAAGTACATATACTTTCTCCCATTTACATCTGGTTTGGAGTATGTATCATTGGCAGAATATTGGGCACTGACAGCAAAGTAGGTTCCCTTTCCATATGCTACAGCTGTGAAAAGAAAAACGACATTTTTAAGAATTTCAATTTAGGCTATAATTTGATGTACTACCCTAATATGTCAAATGTTAATACAATGTTTTCAGTTCCCTCTAAAGCCTCTTTACAATTTTTTGTGTGTGTTTTAAATTTTTAAAAATCATTCCTCCACCTCAAAGGGCCAGTTAGTCCCTTTGGGATGAAACATAGTGAGTCTGACCTGAAACTTTGGCTGCAACCTGGCCACGAACCATGAGGGAACACAGTACAGTTCACAAGGTCCCTGAGCCAGCCTGGCGTCTCATGGCCGACTCTTCACTTGGAGCAACCACATGACCTGCTTCCTTACCATTCTTTCCTGCATAACTGCGGTTAAAGCCATTTTGGTTGACATGTGGCAACGAGCCAGCATCTGTCCCATGGAAGAGCAGCTTCTCATTTTGTGTATTGCCATTGTGGTCATCCATGATTTTTTTCTTTATCTGGTAGGCTTTCCAGAGACCTAGATTCTGGATCCTCTCAATCTGCAAATCAATAAGGAAAAATATTCTGTCAGTGCCAAGATACAGCACATAAAACATGACCATTTTAATCCTCACCTGAGGATATGTTGAGGGAGACAGAGAGGGAGAGAGAGAAGAGAGAAACATGATATGAGAGAGAAACATCAGTTGCCATCTGTTCGTGCCCTGACCAGGGGTCCAACCCACAACCTAGGTATGTGCCTTGACCTGGAATCGAACCTGCAACCTTTTGGTGTACTGGACGACACTCCAACCAACTGAACCGCCTGGCCAGGCAGGGCCTGACCCCTGTTTTTTATAAGTAAAAATTATTATAAACAGCAAATTCAATGTCAAATGGCAGCTTTCTGCATTTGGAAATCTTTTTAGATCAGGTTTCTCAAATCAGGCCTTGGGAAGAGAGTTGATTTAGTTTTTAACATCTTTTATGCACCACATGAGAGCAAACAATGTTTAGGATCTTGGCCGACCAAGGCAGTTCAACTCCTCCTGCTTTTTACCTTCACTGTAATTACTGCTCCTATGGCAGTCTACCTCACTCTGTCACTTCGTCTCTCTCCTCAGTCCTTCTGGAATGCTGGTTTACTAGCCAAGCTCTAACCGTGGGAGAAGCACTAGAGTGTCTAGGCAAGAAGGAAATTAATGAATGAAAGTTAATCTCTCGTCCTGTTGGAAGAGTAGGGCATGAATCCTGGTGAAAGGGAATCTGGTTGCAGACCAAGTGGCTATGTTTCTCTTTTTTTTTCTAATTTACTTTTCAGTTATAGCTTACATTCAATATCGTTCTGTATTAATTTTGGGCATACCACAAAGTGGTTAGAAAATCCTGTACTTTATAGCATGGTCCCCCACTGCTTCAAGTACCCATCTGGTTCCATACCCATTTATGTCAATATTACTAACTATATTCCCTATGCCGTAATCTACCTCTGTGGCTGTTCTGCAACTACCACTTTGTACTTCTTAATCCCTTCACCTTTTTCACTGACTCCAACACCCTCCCCTCTGACAGCTGTCAGTCTGTTCTCTGTATCTATGAGTCTGTTTCTGTTTATTTTATTCAGATTCCACATATAAGTGAAATAATATAGTATTTGTCTTTCTTTGACTGGCTTATTTCACTTAGCATAACCCCCTCCAGGTTCACTTCTGCAGTCATAATAAGTAAGATTTCCTTCTTTTTTACAGCCAAGTAGTATTCCATTGTGCCTCTTTTTATCCACTTGTCTACTGATGGACACTTAGGCTGCTTCCAAATCTTGGCTATTATAAATAACACTGCAATTATTAGTGGTTTGGGTTTCTTCGGATATACTCCCAGAAGTGCAAGCATTGGGTCATAAGGCAGTTCCATTTTTAATTTTTTGAGGCACTTCCACACTGTTTCCCATAGTGGCTGCAGCAATCTGCATTCCATACTCTTTGGGCACTGGTTTCCAGGGCTGTGGTGAAAACTCCTTGGGTCCTAGATTGCAGATCAGCTTTGAAACTTCCCTAATCAATAGGTAGTGGCAGTTCCATCTAGTTGTCCTGGGAAAGTGTGCGGAGTGGGTAAAGTCTCTCATGGAAAAGCAAGAGGTGAAGGTTCCATGCTGTCAGAATCTTCTTCTATTCTAGCAAACTCTAGATTCTAACACTGTTACCTGCCTTCATCAAGTTCTTTTTTTTTTTTTCCCCCAGTTTCGGGTTTCCTATTTTTAATTAAGATAGTTTGACCTCTAGCTCAAAGTGTCCATGTTATCAAGCATGTTGTTAATCTGATCTGGTGGGGTTTTTTTTTACCTACAATTAAGTTTCTAATCTTTAAACTGCCTACTTCCATTTTGTTTCTATTTACCTTAAGTTTTATTTATTTTACTCATTTTCCAAAAGCCTTAAAAATTTCTTCTTAAATCGTTCTTATTTCTTAGTCTTTTCATTCTTGTTTCTCACCTTTTTTTTAGTGTATGTGCTACTAATGCCAGCACTCAACCCTCTAAAATTTAATAACCACAAAAAGAAAAGAATTATTTCAAGTAATTTTGAAAACAGTAATCTGATTCTATATTCCTAGTGGGATAAATTATAAAGTTAGTAGGTTTATGTTAGCAGCAGGCTTCTGGCTGTGGTAAACTATTTGTATCAGACCAATCCTCTTGCCAACAACTGCCAGAAGAGCTGGGGGGCGGGGAGGATGTCTGTTTGAAGGAAACAAGGATTAGATGGGCCAAGTTCCCAGACAGTGCAAAGTGAAACAAAGGGCAGTGCAAAGTGAAACAAAGTCAGAAGACTATAGAGTAACTGCCTCAAAGTGCTTAAGGAAAATAACTGCCACCCAGAATCCTACACCCAGCAAAAATATCCCTCAAAGAATGAAAGTGAAATGAAGACATTTTCAGACAGACAAAAACTGAGACTACCAGAAACATCACCACCAGATCTATACCAAAAGGAACAGAAAAACCAGGAGAGTCACCCAAGATGTAGGCATGAACATACAAGATGAGCCCGGACGGCCGTGGCTCAGCAGCTGAGCACCGACCTAGGATCCAGGCGTTCGGGGTTCGATTCCCGGTCAGGGCACATGCCCGGGTTGCGGGCTCGATCCCCAGTCGGGGGCGTGCAGGAGGCAGCTGATCAATGACTCTCTCATCATTGATGTTTCTCTCTCTCCCTTCATCTCTCTGAAATCAATAAAGATATATTTAAAATAAAAAATACAAGATGAATCGAAGGGCAGTGGGATGAAAGGATAAATATAAATCAACAATCAATGTATTAAAAAAACTAAAATGTTTTATAGGGTTTCAAATATACATAGAATTAAAATTACAAGTAGTACAAAAGGCAGGAGGAGATAAATGGATTTAAAGTGTTCAAAGTTCATTGCGTTGTTTGGGAAATGAAAACACTAATTTGCATTACAGTTTAATAAGTCAAGGATACACACTGTAATCTCTAAGTAACCAATGAAAGAGTTATAGTAGGAGGTATAATGAATAATCTAATAGGGCACAAAAATGGAATGATAAAAATACTTAATGCAAAATAAGGTAAGAAAAGAGAGAAAAGGAGCAAAGAGTAGATGCGATACATAGAAAACAAAGATTAATACAGCATATTTAAACCCAAACATGTCAGTAAATACATTAAACAGACTAAGTACTCCAACTAAAAGATTGTCAGACTGGATGAAGAAAAACAAAATCAAGTGTATGCTGTTACCAAGAGATACATCTTAAATATACAGTTATAGGAAGGTTAAAAGAAAAAGGGGAGATGCTAACAATAACCCAAAGGAACTTGGCATAGCTATTTTAATATCATTAATAATAATTTTGGTATCATAATTTTGAAACAATTTTATGTACACTGTAGAATAAAACAAATAAGTAAATATGTAATATTATCAGGAACCAAAATTTCTTTTGCACGGGGAAAGAGACAAATATAAAATAAAAAATTAAGAAAAAATCCACAATATTAAATTTTTAAAAATATGTATTAATTTCAGAGAGAGGAAGGAAGAGGGAGAGAGAGAGATAGGAACATCAATGATGAGAGAGTCACTGATTGGAGAACCATGATCTCCTGGTTCATGGGTCGACGCTCAACCACTGAGCCACACCAGCTGGGCTACAATATTAAATTTTAATTGAAAACATCCTAATGCATTGATGTTTCTATCTCTCTCTCTCTCCCTCTCCTTTCCTCTCTCTGAAATCAATAAAGATATATTTTAAAAAGAAAAAAAAGATCAACTTGGAAGGGTCCCTATTATCCAAGGGTAGATTAATTTGTGCATCTAAAAGAATAATCACTGTAATTAAATATAGTGAAATTTTTTTTTGCATCCCAGTTTCTTTTTATTTTTCTGCTATTTTTTCCTTTTTTCTTTTAAAGTATGGAAGCTCAAGTATAAGATGTATATATTTTTTTAAGCTTTACAAACAAAACAAAACAAAAAACTCCTTTTGCATTCTATAAAAATTGACAGAAAAGCACCTGGCCAGAAGAGCAGAACGGCAGGCAGGCCCCATCCCCCACCCCCACATGGTCTCTGTGGGACGGGGCCAGTAGGTACAGGACAACGCTGAGGGCCACCTCTCCTTTCTCCCAGAACTGTCTCCTGCTTCCCCATCCCCAAGTCCAAGCAACTCCCAAACACACATGGAATCAGATTTCCAGTTTTTCTTCTATCTTTCACACACCACAGTTATTTCATAAAATATTTTGGTTTTACATTTTTTACACCAATGTAACAAAAAGGTGGGAAGGAAGGGGAGGAAGACAGACAGTGTATTTTATGCTTATAAATGGGTGTGGGGGGGAGGACAGGGAGCTGGGCAAACAAAACACAGTCTCTATGGAAACATCAAGTTCTGATAGCAAAACGTGGTGGGAAGACAGAGAAGGGTGTTTAGCCACTTTACTCTCAGGGTGTGATGATGCTGTGCAGGTCAGTGACGCAAGTTGTGTGACCTGGTCGGGGAGGGAAAGGACAAGGGAAAGGCGCAGAAAATGAGTTTTCTAAGAAAGGAACCTAATGAGTGCATGGCATATCCGGTTGGCATGAAGCAGAGGTTTAACACTGCTGCTTTCTCTTCAAAGCCTCCACCAGGTAATCCTTAAAGAGCTTCTTGTTTTGATTTGTTTGCAAAAGTCTGTACACACCTCAGCCCACTGACGATGTCCTTTGTTTTTCCAAAGTAGATCTCATTGAGCATACTTCCGATTTTGTCTTCCATGTCCTCTACCAGGCGCCCTATATTGGCCAAGTGTGGCGAGCAGTCACTCACAGTTCCTTCTTTCTCCATCTGTCTGGTAAGGCTGCCTTCAAGGTTCATGATGCCAGAGCTGGACTTGTTGGTTTGCAGCCATAGCATCACGGTGGAGGTCAGCTTGTAACGGGCAGTGGAGCCGCTGGATTTCTCCTGCACTTCCAACACATGGATGGAATCCCAGAAGCCTTTGATCTTTGATCTGTCAGCAGCCTTCTTTATGAGGATCACTCCAGCAAAGCCATAATCCAGATCCCAGAGGTAGACAGATGAGATGCCACCTTCAAAATACAGGTCTCGATACTGGTCAAAGACATTGTTGGCTTCTACCTCCAGCTTTCTCAGCCGAGCAGAAGGCATGGCCCCATCTTCCAAGGGTGGGTCATACCTATTACTCCACGGTGACCTAAAGGAGTCCCTGTCTCTGTTGTAGTTACACAAAAGGTAATCCTTTCCCACCACCTTGTCTCTGGCGATTTTCAGTGGGGGGTCAACAAAAGACAGGAGATCTTCACATAGACTGGGGACCAGGTCGATCAGGTCGCTGAGGTTTTTCTCGATTTGCTGTGGAGGCAGGCGCCTCATTAAGTCCATGGCACAGTCCAGCTCATCCCTAATGGTCGTGGCGTTGGCAGCGGTCCCAGTCCCAGCGTCTGCGGCTATACCCACCGCAGCAGGGCACAGCGCCACATACTGAGTTTTTTTAAAGCAAAAGGGGAAAAAACTTCTTTACAAAAACGCCAGATAATAAGTGCAGAAGGAATGACAGAACTAGAAAATTACCATTTTTCAACCTCTGCAGTAATAACAGACTTAGGAAAGGATCATCAATAAATATTAAAGTCAATCGGTAAAAGGCTGTTGGGGAACAGGGTCCTTACTATACAGTGACTAAGTATCACCCCACAGATTACTGACTGACTCCAGTGGAGAGATGTGGTGGTCACCACCCTACCTAGTGATCAAACTTAGCATTAGCAGTAGTGGGACAACATTACCATATGAGGCTTCATGTAATGTATCACCTATGAAATATTCTTACAAAAAGTATTGATCTGAATTTACCCAAGCTCTTCAACCTAACTCCCAGTTTACCAGAAATAAAGAGGATAGAGGAATAAATTAAATAACACCATAAAAAAAAACACAGACAAATCTAGAACCTATAAGAAAACTGGCTTGGGTTCTTAAAAAAAAAAAAAAAAAAAA